GTACGTCCAGAGCACCACGCCACGTAACTATCCACACACGTAAACACTGATCTCATAAAAATTTTTACTTTAGTAAAGCTGGGAAGCTGAAACTTTCAGGGAATGTCTCCAGCCCACATCTGACTTAAATTTATCAAATTCATCCCCCAGGCATGCACAGCCTTTACGTACGGCCCCGCGGAATTTTTTGGCGGAAAAGTGGCTAACTCGAAAATTAACAAAGTTGGGAGGCTGAAATTTTAAGGTAATCTTCCAAGCCCATATACGACTTAAACTTATCAAATTCAGCCTCCAGGCGTGCGTAATTCTCGTGTACGGGCACTTAAATTTTCGGCGGGAAGTTACTCATTGAACGGCTGGGTCATTTTCAAGAAAAGACCGCTAAACGGAAATTGTTTATTTTCTTTTATGCAAAATTTACGATGATTTACAGTATTGAGAGCACAAGGTACGTGTAAAGAAACAACCACTCATGCAGTTAACCTAATTACTTCAAGTTTGGTGCAAAAACGACGATCGCACCGGCTCGCCTGGTGCGTTCCGGCCTGGGTTTTACGAACGAGGTTTCAGCTCCTTTTTATGCATTTTACATACATGCAAGTGCAGAAAAGCATATTGTGACAACCCCGGTGTGTGTATATGTCTGTCCGGCATTTCAGTTCGGAAGCCAAGCAAGCTTCGGCGCCAGTTTTGCCAATGGGTCCCCCGATCAAATGCCACCTCAGAATCGCTGTACCACTCTCGCGCACATCTAGGCCTCGCGTGCGAGCGCGTAAAAATTCTGGTGAGAAAATTGCTGACTCAGAAACCAGAAAAGTTGGAAAGCTAAAATTATGCGGCTACATTCCCCATCCATATATAACTCAAAGGTCCCAAATTCAGCCCATAGATATGCGTAGTTCTCAGCACGGCCCTGTGAAGGCACCTGGTGAGAAAATCATTTACTTGGGAATCAGGAAAGCTGGGGGCTGAAATTTTAAGGGGATGTTCTCAACCTACACACAACTTAAATTTTTCACTCCAGCTCCGACGAACGTCTAGTTCTCACATGCAGTCTTGCAAAAATTTTTGGCGGGGAAAGAATAGAAAGCTGAAATTTTGAGGGGATATTCCCTAACCAAGTACTATGTAGTTGTACAATTAATTTCCGAATTTCGAGGGCCAATATGCCATAAATTCTAGCTACTGGAGCTCCAAGCAATCTTAAAACGGCATGATCTACTGCAAAGCGCGTGTTCTCACGGACCCGCCCAGTGCGCGTCGCCAGTGATTTTAATATGTCCTCAGTTTTTTGCTGAACCATGTCCTTTGAAAATTCTGAACTTTCCATGTGATATTTTAAAAGTTTTCTCCTTCGATTGGATTGCCATATAGGCTCATCATGTTTTTTACAAATACACCATTTCAATTACTACCAGAGTTCCGACCGGCATTGCTACCTGCACCTCCGCTTCGATAACAAACCTCCCTTCGGCATCGAAATAGCTCACGATCTTCTCTGCAACAGTTATCTGGAACTGGCATGAGATGATGGTGCTCAATACACATCACTGAAATCCTGAGGCAGTTAAAGAAAGCATTGTTGAGCAATTCTGTTTGAAGAATCGTTGAGCTGATAATTCGTTCCAGGAGAGATAACGAACATCATGACTGTCAGCAGACTGACCACCGGCGATGCAGATTTAGTAAAGTAGCAACAAAAAAGTTGCCAGCTAAATAACATGAGAATGTGCCTACGAATCGCAGCTAATAATCAAAGTAAGGAGCATAAGTCGTTTCAAAAACGGGCGTGTTGGCACTTTCCAGCTATCGCATTCGAATTTGCACAGTCAGTTCTGGCAACTAACTGCTGCGTCCGTTATGACAAAAGTTGAGTTTGATTGCATTAGTACAGCGGAAATACCAACATTTGCAGTTTAAAAAGCTCTGGATCCAGGGTTCTTCGGTTAGTGCTGACCGGAGTTCCACGGTCAGCACGGTCCGCAGTGCCTTCGCGCTCCGGGTTCTTTCGAGCCATTGTCGAAGCTGCTCCTTGGACGTTGCAGGTCTTAGTTATACCAACACACTCCCTATACTTCTCCAATCGATCTGCTCTCCGGATCCGGATTCTGCGCCGGTACGTTCTCGAAGGGAAAACAAAATCACTTGCTCTCAACACCTTCCCTTTTTTGAAAAAGCAAAGCATACTGTATAAATAATAAGCACGACCAAATCATCAACATATGATAATCAGCAAATATTAAGTGATCACTGGTTAGGGGAAATACAACATGAAACAAAACTAAAATTACATAATCCTGCCATACCACAAGAATTTCAATAATGTATCTTCTTTGCTGGATCCTCTTGTATGCGCTGAATCGGTTTTCGAGGACGTGGTGAACGTCTCGGATATGCGCTGTGAATCTTTGGGCGCTGTTGCTGATTTCCGCTGTGCTGGTGACTAGTGAACGTGGATTTGTTGTTGCCTCTGCAGTACGTTGTCCAAATTCTTCTATATCAAATGTTTCTAACATTATTTGCAAAGTATCAAAGTCATGCCGATACGAGCCATTAAAGAGTCTTTTCCTTAACTGATTTGCATGTTTCCTCAGGATTTCCTTTCCCACCTGAACTTCATATACCACACGACCAATTCGTCGCTTTATTACTCCATGAACCCACTTATTCTTCTGATATTTCTGAACCATGACATAAACTGGATCCTTGACGTGAAATATCCGTTCACGATCCCCATTGTGCCTATTGTACTGTTTCTCCATACGCTCATCCCATTGTGTGGATTCTTTGCTAAATCGTAGAAGATTTAGCTGAGCATGGATTCTTTGGTCTAAGAATAATTCTGAAGATGTAACGTTATTCGGTAAGCTGGTATTTGGTGTAATTCAGTAGGGCCATTAGAAATATCTCCAGTTTGTCACCTACTGGATCTTCTTCATCCAACTTAGGTAACGTGTTTTTGAAGGCATCCACAAATTTTTCAGCTTAACCGTTTGATTGGGGATGATAAGTTGGTGTGCGTATGTACTTAATATCAAAGTTCCCACAGAAAGTGGTAAGTTCTGCCGAAATAAGCTATGTGCCATTTATCCGACACTAACACTTCTGGCAATCCATATTTTGCAAAAACTTGTCTTAGCACTTCACAATCGTTCTTACCGTTGTGTCTGGCGTAATAACAATTTTTGACCAATTGCTATAAGCATCTACAATGAACAAAAAGTGGTATCCTTTGAATGGACGGCATAATTTATATATACTCGTGGCCATACGCGATTTGGTTTTGGCCTTGAAGCTTAAGCGCATTTTATCGGTGCTTTTGTTGCTTTTGCACGCTTCCACACCGTTGTACCAGTTCTTCAATACCTTTTTTCTGTTCCTGGCCAATAAACATGCCTAGCCAATGACTTTATCCTATTAGTTCCATGGCACACAAAATGTAATTGATGCAAAATTTGTGTCTTGAGTGATTCAAGAATTACCACTTTATCAGCAAACATCAGACAGTCATTAATTTCTGACAAAGATTCTCTTCTGTTAAAAAATTGCTGCAACTCTGCATTTCTAATTTGTTTTGGCCAATCCTCTCCCAAGTAATGCAGTTCTTTCTTCAAACTTGAATTCTTGATAGTCTCTTCTTTTACCGTCTTATGTGTTACTGGAAGTTGCGAATTGCGTCCGCTAAAATTCTGTGGATATCAGGCTCAATTCGAATTGCAGCTATAACCTTGTCACCGTCATTTTTGATGTCTTCATCATCCGCGACAATGCATCCGCGTGTCCGAACGTCATGGTCTAGTGCTATTCCAGTTTAAAACCAAAAGGCAGTAGTATGGCAGCCCATCTCTGCAATTTTTTTGCAGAGGGCTGCCATACTAATTTTTTTTTTGGCAGTAGTATGGCAGCCCATCTCTGCAATTTTTGCAGAGATGGACTGTATACACGGGTATTCCTTTTTAGCACAGAATGCGGCCAACAATGCCTTATGGGTCGTTAATAACGTGAATCGCCTATCAGTATCATCTTGTGAAAATTCCTAAGCCCACTGGCTTCCTTTTCTATTTGACTATATTTGCGTTCTGAAGTTGTCAAAGTTCTTGAAGCATGAGCTATTGCTTTTTCTCGACCGTCAAGAAACTCATGTGAAAATACGGCTCCCAGACCGTAGTTACTGGCACCTGCGGCTATAACAACATCAACTTTTGGATCACACTGTGTCAGCAACATATCTGATCGCAGTACATTTTTGATTTCCTTGAATGCTTGTTCGCACCTTACAGTCCAATTGAGCTTGACATCTTTCGGCAGTAGCTGATCTAGCGGCGCTCTGATCTCATGCAAACTCTTTACAAATTTGTCGTAATGGTTTACCATTTCCAAAAATGATCGAAGTTGATTCGCATTCACTGGATGTGGCACTGTAGGATAGGCTTCATTCTTTCTGAGTCTGGTCGTATTCCATCTTCGTTTAAAACAGATCCCAGATATTTGACTTCGCTTGTTCAAAGCTACACTTTTCGAGCCTAATATGAAATCCGTATTCTCTGATGCGGTCCAGGACTGCACTCAAATTGTCATCATGCTTTCTTTGTGTTTAACCTACCACTATGACATTATCCAAGTGGGCAACAGTGCCTTTTAACCCTACTAGCATAGTATCCATGATTTGTTACAAAATTTCAGGCG